CCATCCAGGTAATGGAGTCCCTGACTGGGAAGCTCATCCCAGAACTGCACTCTACCCTCAACCTCTAACCCCTACATTCACTCCCCCCACTTGATTACTTCTACTTCCACATAAAGATGATGATCAAGTGCAGTCTCCTGTGGTGGGGCATAGGTTCTATTCTAGCTTGGACATTTACAGTGAAATCTTGGGCAGGTCACACGCCCCTTCTTTGGCTCTATAGCAATTCTGCACACACTCACGGCATTCCTATGTATTCCTACTGAGAACTGATATGAGCACTGAGATGAGAGTCCTGGTTCTCTCAGTGTATGGCTCTGTGATCCTAGGAACATGCTTCCCCAATCTGAGTCCCTGCCCCACCCTTCATGGTACATGGTTCTGTCAGAATTGCTTTTCATCAAGACATTATTTTTCCAACTCTGTTGTCATGTCAACACCCACCCAGGAGATAGCACTTCTCAGGAACAGGAAGAATACAGAAGTTCTCCAGAAAAGTATGTGTCTCCTTAGGGTTCCTAGGACCCTGGAGGATCCCTCAGCCCAGACTAACAGCCTCTTCTTGCTGGCCATTGTGTCCTGAGCAGAAAGCTTTATTTTTTCCCCAACTATCCCAAACTTAGGACTGTCAGAAGTCAAGTTTATTCCATACTTGGGCATATTTGCTCCTCAGGGAGGATACAGAGATTGAATTCAAAGTCTCCAAAGTTCCTTAGTTAGGAGTAAGGAGCTGAGTTTCTGCTCTGACTCTAACTAACACCCCAGCTTTCAAGATCCTTTCAGATATACTCTAGTTGAATGTCATTGTCACAGTCAATGATACAGCTGGGATCATGAGATGAGATGCATTCTAAAGGTTAGGATTCCAAGACTCAGAAAGTACCTCTTGGGAAGAGGTGAACACTCCAGCCAGCCCTGTCCCCCTGCTCTCCAGTTCTCTCTCTTTACTGCAGCCAGAGTCACAGGCAGTTTGGACACTGGTTAGGATTCTTGGCCAGAAACAAGAGGCTCCTGGAGGGTATACTGGCATCTCTGATCTTAACAACATAAAACATTTTTTTCCCCAAAGTTCTACTTCTTTGCCCATAGCATATGGATTACCTGAGGGTCCTGTTGAAAGGCAGGTGCTGGGTTGATAGGTCTGGAGTGAGGCCCGAGAACCTGCATTTCTAGCAAGTTCCCAGGAGTGCAGGACCAGACCTCAGTCTCCTTGTCTTCCCCCAAGCCTCCCTTCTGGCCTTTCCGTAGCACCTCCTGGATTCAAATGTCCAAAGCAGCACGAGTTAGAGAATGTGAGGGTAAGGGGATCTGCACCCAGGTGGGGGAACTGAGGCCTATCCAGGGCTGACAGGAACTTGTTCAAGATCTCACAGCAATTCAGTGACAAAGTCAAGACTCAGGCCTCCCATATCCGGGAAAAGGAAAACAAAATCCAGAAAAGGTATGTACTGAAGTGGTAACTGTGCTTTCTTTGGTGAGCGATAGGTTCCTTTCACTTTTTTTTCACTTTCTTTTGCTATTTCTCACCTACCTTTTCCCTCTTACCTGTCTTTTTAAAACAATAAACACACACTGATTTTGTAATAATAAAATAATTTTAGTAAAGGATAATTCTCACAAAGTTCTTAGAAAACGAGATTGTGTTTATGAATCTGCTCCTTTCATCCGTACATAGTCCATCCAGCTTAAACCACCCAGAAATCCTTGAACGTCGCTATCCTTACTCTTATGGGAACAGGAATCACCCAGCTGGGGAAGGCCACCACTGCTGCCAGCGCCCACTACCCGGGCCCGCAGCTTTCTGCTGCTACTTTGCCTCTGCTGTCCAGACAGTTCTCCCAAAGCTCTGGCCGCAGGAATGTTCCCCTTAAATTGGGGAAGAACGTTCCCTAATCCATTTTCATAGTTAACGACCTCAGGCCAAATCTGCTTTTGTTGCTGGTTTCCTAAACTTAATTGCAAGCAAAGTTAATTTGAAAGAAAATAAATGTTACAGCTCTGGGGCGAATTCTAACGAGCCTTGGGCAATTAGGGAAAAACGCATCTAATTACCCACAGCCCAAGGGCGCCAGCACACGACGCTGGAGGTGCTGGGCCCCCAGAGCAGCAAACGATTTTTTGTGTGTTCGTAATAGGAAGAAGAAAAATAAAACAAAAAGAAGCGCATCTTCAGTCTCTGAGCCTCTTCGATGCGCGACGCGGGGTCCTGTCCCACGGAGAGAAAATTCCTAGAGCTGGCATTCCAAGATGACTGCTCTCAAGATCCAAGAGCCGGGCGGGCTGGAGGGTCGGCCTGCGACCTCGCGGGTGGGTGAAGCGGGGAGCCGCGCACCGTCTGGGAGGCACTCGCTCCCCCGCGCTGAGCCCATTCCGGCCGGGCGACAGCGCTCAAGCTCCGTGTGCTGCCCGTCCGCGGGAAGCTGAGAACCGCTGTCCCTTTGTCTTCATCCTGATCCCAACCCTCAGGTCTCTCCCTTCCTCAAGGTTCCTGTAATACACACCCAGGTCTCTCCGAGAAACGTCCCTTTCGTTGACCCCCGCCTTTGGCATAATCTTACCTGTTGCCCAAGCTGACAAGGACACCTGTGCTTTCCCATTTCATCTTTCTCCAAGAGGCTTCATTTCAATCCGGCTCCTATTTATTAAAGCCTTTCCGCCTTCCTATGCTCGGCGTTTTACAGTTTACAGGGTGTGTTTCCACTTTTCTTGTCTCCTTTAACTCTAGGAGGACCCTCTGAGGTAGCCAACGTCCCTTTCACAAATGAGAACACCAGAGAAGAAACTGGCCTAAGGTAATGGCTCTGTCAAAGCCCTGGGTTTGCTAAATAGCAAACAAAGAAAGGCAACTCCCGCAGTAACTAGGTGCAAAGACCACTCTTCTCCAGCCCCAACCCAGGGCTTGCCAACTAGGCATGGCAATCTGATCTCTGTGCCTGGGACGGCCAGCTTGTCTAGCTGCACATGGAGAACACTTGAATTCCATTCCTGCAAAGGTTCATAGAGAGAGGAGGGAGGCCCAGTACCTGGGCTTTTTCCAAGGTCACAGGGCTGGTCTGGAATCTGGACCCACCAGGGGCAGGATTGGTACTCCAGCTGCCTGTCTCTTCCAGGTGTTCATTTACTACCAAAGTCAGGAAGGACCAGCATCTAGATCGGCACTATCCAAGCGTGTTGCTATTGAGTATGTGGATTGTAGATAGTCCAAATGTGGATATGCTGTAAGTGTAAAATACACCCCAAATTGCAAAGGCTTTGTATGAAAAAAGAGCAAAACATCTCAACAAATTTTATGTTGATTATATGTTGAAATAATAGTTGGCTATATTGGACAAACATATTATTAATCTCACCTGTTTCTTTTTAGTTTATTAATCTGGCTATTAGAAAATTTTAAAGTAGCACATGTGGCTTTGCTCACATTATATTTCTACCGGGGAGCACTGATTTGGACCAATCCCTGTCTGGACTTAACCAAGTTCACATGTCTTTGAAAACAGAGTAGTGCAGTCCCCAAAATAAAAATAAAAATTACAATGGTTTTTGTACAACTTTCTTTTTTCTGTTTCCCTTCCCTACCAAGTTAACTATGCAGAAAGAGGCTGAGTTTTTCTTGCCAGAACTCACTTGCTCAAAGATTTTTATTAAAATGATTCATCTGAACACTCAAGTTTATCTGAGAGTTGTGAAGGGAACCTTTGAAATAGTTTGACATTGGAAATTTTTGCCCTAGAATAAAAGATCTCTCAAGTGGGAGAGTTGTCAGGTTTTCAGATTTTAGTGAGCCGAGCTGCTGCTTTAAAATAAATAAACACAAAACAAAATTAAAAATCTTGGTTGTAAAGCTTATTTCATTAATCACTCTAATTTCATTTTTGCATAAGCAGGCTGCTAAGGTGTAGCAGGGATGGAAGAGCCAATCCTTGCTACTGAAAACTGTTAGCTATGGGCTCATACCCCATGCCTCCCCCAAGTTCTCTCATATACTTGAACTTAGTTTACCCATTGATCCAGGGCTGTTTGATGGAAAGAAACGGTGGACAACAGATTAATGTATTTCTATTTGTCTTACTAGAAATCATATATATGACTGGGCAGTCATAGCTATGGAATGACCAGCACATCCTGCTCAAAAGTTCAATTTAATTATGATATAATTGCTGTCTGGAACTAATCCTGGGACTTTAGGTTAGACGTTTGCTGTGAGCTCTGTTCCCATTCCTGAGAACAGCAGTAAGATTTTGGATGGCTACACAGAGGCCCGGGGTGGCCCACCAATGCTGCCAAACATGCAGGGCAGCATCTACCATGATGCCATGATGTGGCCTTAAGACAAGGTAGAATCACGCAGGCCTCTTGTGTAACCAATACGGAGACTGAAGGCTCAGGTGAAGGGACTGGGTCACATTGGGGAGCTGAAGCATAGACTCACAGCTAGGTCTGTGGGTTTCAGAGGCAGGAAAAACCAACCCAGGTAAACCAGAGTAGAAAGAATTCTCACATTTCTCTTTTAAAAAGCAAATTTGTCCTCATTACTTTAAAAATAATGGCACAGTCTGAGCCCTTTATTGTAATAACGCGCGCAAAGGCCAAAGAAGTGAACCAAGTAAAAAGGCCCGAGTTTTCAGCAGCACATGGAAGAGTGAAGTTATGTGATTTCCCACACTTCCGATCCTGGACTCTGGTGTAGACACATGCTGTTCCCCGCCACCCCCAACCTTATCGCCAAGGACTCCCTGAAGGAATGCCAGAGAGGTATGTCCTTTAGGGCTTCGTCCCATCGAGGGTCTCTTGAGCTAGTCCAAGGCCTCTGGCTGGCTCACTCCACGGTCTTCGCATTTGCAAAGTAAACCAGTGTGTACGCGGTGCGTCTCTACAGACTTTTCGGTCCCTTTCATGTGGATCCCAACTGGGTCCTCTCTCCAGTTCCGTCCTTTTGGTAGCGGAAAAACTTAGTTCGTATGGGCAGCCGAGGTGTCTGAGTTTTCGTCCCTACGCTCGGCTCACATGGCTGACACAAACCGATCTATCCCGCCAGGATAGGCGGGGGCATGGCGAGCATGGTAGGTGCCTCCACTAGACCCTCCTAGCTGCCCTCCAGGGTTGTAGCAGGGCCCCAGCGCTCCGAACTGGCCGGGCGACGTGCGCCCATAGAAGTCTACTGCGCTCTCAATGCAGCCACTGCTGCCACCTGCGGAGGGCGAAGCGGGTCCAGTTAGGCGTCCAGCAGCTGCAAAGAGTGCGCTGCTAGCCCCCTGCGGGTATGAGCCCTCGGTGCCCGCGTAGGCGGCCGCATAAGCTGAAGGGTTAGACGGCCGGGCCCCTGTGCAGCCGGTGGGCTGGTAGCTGGTGGTAGTAGTGGGGGCGCCGACCGAGGCAAAGGCGCAAGAGCCGCCTGGCCCCGACGGCACAGGCCCCAGCTCTGGGCTGAGCGGCCTCTCAGGAACCAAGCCGAAGACGCGACAAGGGCCTGGAGACGCGGCAGGGTAGTAGACCGGTGGCGGCGCGGCAAGAGACGAAGGAGCGTAGCCCGCGTAGACGGCACTCGGATAGGGCGGACGCGCGGCGGGGACGGCTCCCGGGAAGATGGCGGCAGCGGCAGCGGCTGCTGCGGCTGCAGCGGCCGCCGCGTCGTGCATGTAGGCCGGGTACGTGGAGAGGTCTGAACGCTTGAAGCGCTTGCGGCGGCGCAGGAAGCTGCCGCTCTCGAACATGTCCTCAGCGTTGGGGTCTAGTGCCCAGTAGTTGCCCTTGCCGGGGCGACCGGCCTCGCGCGGGATCTTGAGAAAGCAGTCGTTAAGCGTGAGGTTGTGGCGGATGCTATTCTGCCATTTTTTGGGGTTGTCGCGGTAGAAGGGGAAGCGTTCAGTGATGAATTTGTAGATGCCGCCCAGCGTGAGGCGGCGCTCCGGCGCGTGAGCGATGGCCATGGCAATGAGGGCGATGTAACTGTAGGGCGGCTTCCCGCGCTGCAGAGGGCGCTTGCGGCGCCGCCCGCCCGAGCCGCGGCCAGCTGCCTCCGCCGGGACTCCGGTCGCAGTCTCTCCGGCCTCGCCGCTCTCCTCCTTCACAGCTGCCAGTACTTCGGGCTGGGGCGGGGGCGGCGGCGGCCCGCTCTCAGCAGTCATGGCTCAGCCGCCCTGACCCCCCCGGCGTCTGTGCTACCCGCCGCAGTTAAGGGTCGGGGTGGCCGGGCGGGTCTGGGAGCGGCTGGCTTGGGACGTGAGGTCCGACGCTAGGATCCTCTGGGAAGAGTTCTGGACGTCCTTGTGGCCTGGTACTGAGAACGCAGCTCCCCAGGCTAGGGCAAGCCGGAGGCTCGGCGCCCACAGTCTCGGGCTAGCGTGGTGCAGGCAGTGGCACAGGAGCGTCCCGCCCACCGACGGCTCAGCCCGTGTTGTGTAGCTCGAGGCCAGGCAGTGGCGGCGGGCACGAGGAATAGGCTCCGGTCACCCGCTGGATGGTCCCGAACGTGGTGGTGCCAGGCGGTCAAGGGGTCCGGAAGTAGTTCCGAGGTTGGGACGCCTGCAGCAGGCGGGTCTGGGGTCCCGCTTGGTTCTAGGATAACCGTGTACGCAGAAGAAGCTGCGGCCCAAAGGCCTAAGCAAGGGCAATTAGTGCAGGCGCGGGGCGATATGGCGGGGTCCGCCCATGCTGCGCCCCTGCAGCCAAGGTGGCGGGCAGGGCCAAGGTCAGGGAGGTAAGGCGCGGGCCTCAAGGTCTGGGCGCGGGCCCAGGCAGGGTGGCGTGGACTGCTCCTCTCCGCAGCCTTGAACTCCAGCCTTGGGGACCGCTGGCGAGGCACTCCTCTGCACACCCCCGGACCGGCTCCTCCCTCCTCCGGCTTCTCCTCCTTAAAGACGTCGGGAAGCGTGGGGCGGCGCCAGTTCCCTGCCTGCTCCCCCCACGACTGCCCGCCCCCGGGGCCCGACGCGCCTCCCCAGGTAGGTGCAGTTGTGGCGGTGAGGCAGAAGCACCACAACGTCAGAGCTGGGCGGGAGCTTGGAGATCGTCCCGGGGGCCAGCCCCCCTCTGCGCGCCCACGGGGAGACTGAGGCTCAGAGAGTCCAGCGACTGCTAGCTCCGGATCCCTCAGTGCCCAAACTCTGCGCTTCCGGACTTTTCCGGCCTCAGCTGAGGGTTGGGACTCGCAGGTGAAAGGACGGGCTCACCTCAATTTTCTGCCCTGAGAGGGTGAGCATTGCCGGAGAAGGCGCTTGGTTATCGTGGGGTGAAGGACGGGAAGGGAGATCTGGGAGATTGTTTCCTGAGGTCTTTCCAAACCATTCCAGTCCCCGCATTTTTCAGACGAGATTTCCCAGGGCTTAAAGGGAAGGTGACCGCTCGTTTTCTACTTCTCCGCTTATCTGAGCCTCAAACCTGCGTCATTTTTAGGACTGCGCTTCCCGACTGTGTGGCAGAGTTAGCCACTTTCCCCCCTCTTGGGTCCTAGATTCCTCAACCCGACTCAGGGCTTGGATTTCAAAAGTCCTTCTGTTGTCAATATTTAGGGAAAAGTCGTCCCCTCACCCCCAATCATCCGTCTTTGAGTGACTCGGGACCCGCGTCTACATGATGGACAGTGGCGCACGGATTAAAGACGATACAGGCTAGGTTGACAAGCTCTAGCTGTAACCTCCTTCTTAATTCCCCCAGGCCAGAGAGGGCACCCGGAAGCTTTCACGACCCCTGGGGGGCAGCCAAACTCCCCCTTTCCTCAGCGGAGTGGGAGGCGGTTAGCGGGGTGGGGGCGGTGAGGGAGGCGAAAGAAGGGAGCTGCTCCGGGTGGCGCATCTCCCCGGGAATGGGGAGCGCAGATGGGACCCTGTAGTTTCGTGTCTGATACTTTGAGAGTTTATTAGAGTGTCGGAGGCAGGACTCCATCCTGGCCCTCCTGGCGGCGCAGCCCCTCTAACTCCTTGCGCTGCAACCCCGAGGCCATGCGCTGGGAGACCTAGGCCTGTCTCTTCTCCTCCCAGGAGCGTCAGTTTTCTACTCAGAATTGGGAGCTGAAGGGCATGTGCTGATCTCGGAGGGCCCTTCCACTCTCAGGATTCCAGGCTTGGTGGTGCCGGCTCCGGAGGCTCCAGCCACGAGTCAGCTGGGAGGATTAGGAGGATAGAGGGGATTGGAAGGATAGAAGGGTGGGTGCAGGGCTGGACGAGGGGGGGGGGAGATCCCAAGCAGAGGTTTCTGGCCATAAGCTAGTGGTACACCTTTGAGAGTTTCAGTTGCTTTCTTCGTGGCGGTGAGCTGAGGGCAGGCTTAGCGGTTAAGCGTTTGGCAGCTGCCTTCGAAAGAACCAGGCGAAGCCCAGATTCTCATTTCATCGACCCGGGTTGTGTGGAAACACTCATACTGTTTGCTCCACGATTTTACTCAGCAGAGGGGTGCAGAAGGAATGGAGAGGGGGGTTTTACACTTGCCATACAAAACTCCCTGTTTCCTTCTTCAAAGTAATGAGGAAGAGAAAATTCAAGTTTCTTCTTGTTTCTTTTTCCAAAACGGAAAAAAAAAAGACTTAAAACTTTTAAATTTTAACTGAATTATATCAGGAGGACTTTATAATATGGGGTCTTGTGGTTGTATTTTCAAGATTCTTCCATGCAGATTTTCGGATTTTAAATTCTGGATCATTATTCTAATCCTAATGTGATTTCAGAAATCAAAGAATGTGATCTTATAATTCTAAAATTCCATGACCCAGAATCTTAAGTTCTTTGACTATGAGTATATGTCTGTGACTAAAAGCTTTTGGTCAAAGTCTACAAACCTATTAATTATATTTAAGATACTGGGAGTAAGCCCAGCGGCTGTGGCACATACCTGTAGTCCCTCTACATGGGAGGCTGAGGCAGGAGCATACTTGAGCTCAGGAGTTTGAGCCTGTAGTGTGTGCTACCATCCTGCCTGTGACTAGCCACTGCACCCCTGGTGGGCAGGCAAGATAATGAAATTCCTTCTCTTCAAACAAACAAAACTGGGTACTGGAACACCAAGATTTTGTGCCACTCCTGGGAGCTGCCACTTTATGTAGTTTTAGATTTTTTAAGCTCTTAGGTATATATTATTTGATTTGAATTTCCGACTAGGAGTAAATGAATGTAACATTTGGGTAATATAAATCCACAACTTTCTTCTTCCTTAATTCCAAAATGTTAGTGCTGGATCCATGCTATCCTTTAGCTCAATGAATCTGATTCTAGTAATTTAATTTTCATGACTGTATGCTTTAATGATCAGCCCCATGACTTTATGATTCTCTGTTTTTAGAGACTATGGTTAAAAGTCTCCATGTCTAAGGATTTTCTGATCTTTAGTATCTGTTGTCTGTGACCTTGATCCTGTAGAATTCTGACTCTTCTTTCTCAAATTTTGTTACTCCCGGAGCTATACTTGTGCCTCTGACCAAGATCAAGATAAATTAGAATTTCCATGATCATGATTGTAAGATTTTCATGAACAAAGGGCCCCTAAAATTCTGCTTCATAAATGTTTTATTCACATAATCCATTTCAAAATTCTGTACTTTGAAGATTCTATGAATCCATACTGTAAAATTTAGATCAAATGATTGGATGAGTACACACATCACCAGTTTACCTGTCTGTGTCAAAACCATACATAAAAATCTCTTCGATGCCAAAGCATTTCCTCTATTTTCCCTTTGCTTCTCTCTCCATTTCTTGAATAGGGGGTGGAGTGGCCACGGGCAAATTCTCATCTGTGGCATGATGCTCCTTAATATTTGTGGGGCCACAGACGTCACTGGGAATCATTTCAAAGCTAAGAATAATTGGAAATTATTCTCCCCATCCCAGTAGGGGTGGCTGGTGTTGATGTGGGCAGGCCAGGTGATTGCAATATACTCCCCAGAGCTGGTCTTCAACCCTGCGTGTATCCTCAGCACTCCGGGGGGGGGGGGGGAACATGCTCCGTGGCAGGCCATTGTATGTGCAAGGCGGGTAGGAGACAGTGATCTACAGAACGTTGTTGCTCTTTTGCAACAGCTGTTTTCCTGAGTTTTAAAGTGCTCTAGGAGAGTTTGTAAATTAAAATGCGCAGGGGTGGGGGTGGGGGTGTCCAAGGAGTCCTGGAGAATTCCTCCTCGTTCCTTGATCCAGATTTCTGTATGTGCAGATGCAGAAGTAACCAGCTCTTCTTCTGCTTAAGGAAATCTTGGAAATTAGAGCTGGCAAGAGATGGGCCCAGACTGTGGAAGAAACTTGCTTAAAGACTTGCAGAGAGGAAAACATGGGGCTGAGAGGGAAACTCAGATCTTCTGGCTCTTACTTCTTGCTCATCCCACCTCCCAGCCCACCCCACTTCCCGTCCTTTCCTCTATTCTTAGAGCCTTGCGTGTACCTAATTCCACCGCCTGGAACACTCTCCTTTTCCAGCAACAACAGACAGGCCAGGCCCCTACACTTGCAAATCTGATGAAGAATCTGATTACAGCCGCATAACAGTGACCTCTGCTTGGGTTTTTCTGGTACAATCTGTCTGGGTCAGCAGGGCTGTATGACCCTAGGGAGCATAAGAGCAAGACAGTGCCACAAAGCTCCCACACACCGGTCGCACTGAGTCCTGCGACAACCGCAGACATTGTCTACAGCAGGAACCGGCGTTGTGAGGGTTCCCACTCCAAATCGCCCACTATCCTCTCCACAGCTTTGATACACTCTTAACCTCAGCCCCCCATCTTTCCTCTCTCCTCCAGAGCTGAGAGTATGGGGTGGCACACATCACTGGCTGTGATTGTGTGTCTTTTAAATTGTTCCAAGGCAGAACACGGATGTGGAGAAAAGGCAAAACACTGTGGGAACTTTCAGCCCGTTTCACTCACGGTCTGAAAGCGCTACTCTCCAAGCAGTAGCGGTTGATTAAAACATTTTCTGTGGCCCAGCAGGGGACTTCGAGTCTCAGGGCCCCTCCATCCCCACCCCCGTCCTGTCGACTCTTTTGGCTCTCAACGAAGGACGCGGACTCCCCCCACAAGCTCAGTAGGGAAGCCACTGAGCTTCTGCGCTTTGTCACTGTTGGTTCGTTCGCTTACACGTTGAGAACAGAGAATTAGCCCCGGGAATGCATGGAGGAAAGGCGGCCTGGAAAGGGGAGCCCCGGCTTC